TTGTCACATTCATTAATTTTAAATCCACTCTTAATTATGACATTGCCAAATTTTTCATGTCATTGTTTTGGTGCTTGTTTCAAGTCATATAGTGATTTCACCAATTTACAGACTTTCTTTTCCTGTCCTAGAGACGAAAACCTCTCAGGTTGTTCCATGTAGATTTCTTCTTCTAAATCTCCATTTAAAAAGGCAGTTTTAACATCTATTTGATGTACTTCAAGACTTCGCAAAACGGCAATCGTAAGTATCATCCTAATAGATGTTATTCTCGTCATTGGAGAATACGTATCAAAGTAATCAAGGCATTCCCTTTGTTTGTAGCCTTTAATTACTAATCTGGCCTTATACTTCTCGATAGTTCCATCTACTTTCATTTTCCTTTTGAAAATTCATTTATAGCCTAGTGGTTTGCTTCCTGGAGGAAGATCCACTAGCTGCCATGTATGATTTTGCAGTATGTAATTTATTTTACTGTCAATGGCTTCTTTCCATTTAGGTCCTTCCGAGGAATTCACTGCTTCTTGATAACTTTGAGATTCACTTTCTAGCATATATGTCAGAAAATCAGGACCATAAGATTTTTCTGTCATTTCCCATTTGCTGCGTCTAACCTCAGTCTCCTCTTCTAATTCTTCGTTCTGACTATTTTCAGTCATTGTCTCATATGTTCGTTTAGAGGAGCTTACTTCCTCTTTGGATCTGTATGAAAATGCTTCTTCAAAGAATGTAGCATTCTTTGATTCCATTATTGTGTTTTTGTGTATATCTTGAATTTTTGGATCATACACAAGAAAGCGATACGTACTGCTATTATGTGCATAGCCAATGAAAACACAGTCTATAGTTTTCGGGCCTATCCTTACCTTCTTTGGTGGTGGAACAGCCACTTTAGCAAGACACCCCCACACTCGCAAGTGTTTATAGGTAGACATTCTTCCTTTCCATAACTCATAAGGGGTCTTTTCCTATTTCCTTCGGGGCACCTTATTTAAAAGGTAATTTGCTGATAACACAGCTTCCTCCCACATGTTCTGAGGTAGCCCAGAACTTACGAGCATTGCATTCATCATCTCTTTTAAGGTACGATTTTTTCGTTCAGCAACACCATTTTGTTGCGGTGAATAAGGGGCGGTGGTTTCATGTATGATTCCGTGTTGTGAACAGAATTCAGCAAATTGTGTTTCATACTCACCACCTCGATCACTTCGCAGCACCTTAATTTTCTTATTAAGTTGATTATCAACTTTGTTCTTATAGAGAATAAATTTCTCGATAACTTCATCCTTATTTTTAAGCAGATATACATAGCAGTATTTTGTGCTATCGTCGACAAAAGTAATAAAATACTTGTTGCCGCCTCTTGTTTGTACAAGTTTTAGATCACACACGTCAATGTGAACTAAATCTAGTGGTTCTGTGTTCCATTCAATTGATTTAAACGATGACCTTGTCAATTTTATTTCAACACAAGTTTCACACTTATGTTTGGAATCATTATTGAACTTAGGTATGCAGTTAGTTAACTAGTCTACGTAAAGTATCATAGTTAACGTGTCCTAGTCTACCATGCCACAAATTGGAAGACTCAAGCAAATAAGCAGAAGAATTTGCTTTATTCATATTTGGTTTCACAACCATTACATTGAGTTTAAACATATCGTCGGAAACATAACCTTTCCCGACAAACATTCCACTTTTTGACAGAATGACTTTGTCTGACTAAAAAACAATGCGGAAACCATACTTATTCAAAAGCGACCCGGACACTAAATTCTTGCGAATTTTCGGCACATAAAGTACGTTGTTGAGAGTCAGCTCCTTTCCCGAGGTCATCTTAAGAACCACTTTTCCATGACCCTTGATTTCGAAAGTTGCTGAATTTCCCATGAACAACTTCTCCCCGTTCTCAACAGTTTCGAACGTATCAAACATCTCTTTATCAGAGCACACATGCCTTGTAGCACCGGTGTCAATCCACCACTCTTTAGGGTTTGAACCCACTATGTTTACTTCAAAAATGACCGCTGCGAGATTCAACTCCGACACATCTTGTGCCATATAGTCAACCACGTTTGCTTCTTTCTTCTTCTTCGGTAATTTGCACTCCGAAGACTTGTGACCCACTTTATCACAATTGAAGCATTTTCCTTGGAACTTCTTCTTGACAATTCCACCTTTTGGTCCTTTCTTGGTTCTTTTGCCATCGGATGACCCAGACTTGTTTTTGTAGTTCTTACTACTTTGACCAAGCTCCACAACATTGGCTTTGGCCACACTAGGATTGAACCACTTCTTCTCGGAACTCTTGTTGTCTTCTTCGATTCGAAATCTAACAACGAGTTCTTCGACGTTCATTTCCTTTCGTTTGTGTTTCAAATAGTTTTTGAAATCTTTCTACGCGGGGGGCAATTTTTCTATAATTGCAACCACCTAAAAAGTTTCACTCAACATCATTCCTTCAGCATGAATTTCGTAAAGGATCACTTGGAATTCTTGCACTTGACTGATAACAGTTTTGGAGTCCACCATCTTATAGTCTAGAAATTCACCGATTATAAACTTTTTAGCCCCGACATCCTCAGTTTTGTATTTTCGGTCCAAGGACTTCCACAATTCCTTAGCAGTTTTCATGGTGCTATACACATTGTACAGTGCATCTGCCAGGCTGTTCATGATATAATTTCGGCACAGAAAGTCCTAATGCTTCCAAGCATCAAGTGCACTCAATGCTTGCACAGCTCCCTCACCTTCATTAAGCTTTGGAGCAGCTTCAGTCAAGAATCTCACAAGATTCAAGGTGGTTAAGTAAAAAAGCATTTTCTGCTGCCACCTTTTGAAATTCAAGCCATTGAATTTCTCCGATTTTCTCCATGATTAACCAGAACAGTTACAGTTTGGCCAGTTTGGCTCACAACATGACTTAACATTCTAGCCACAGTCTGAGCCACAACGGAACTTGGCCCTTGAGCCACATTAGAACCCACAGCCTAATTTCCAGCAGGAACATTTTGGGTTACATCCATGTTGTTCGATTTGATTACCATTTATGAAAACAAACCAAATATTAGTTCCAAGAAACTAAAATCCAAAAACCAACTCTTGTTTTCCGAATTCAGAGACCGTCTTAAGCTTGTAGGAAAATAAGTCGCTAGCGGATGAAACCAATTGTATGAGTTTTATTCAATTGCAATAGCCGACTATTGAAATTAATAACCACAAGGCAAACGATTTCAATTTATTAAAAAAAATTCCGTTTCAGAATTTTTCAACGGCTGAAAAAAAATGTTTAGCAACACAAAATCAAAAATATAAGTTAATAGCAAGCTAAAACTGTAAACGGTGAATCTGGAAGCTGCACACTATGGAACTACAAACTGCATGAATTAAATAGTAATGCAAAAATAATCTGTAGAAAGAAAACACAAACTGCAGCAAATTTCAAACCAAGGTCTGTGCGTGCACAGTTTCCTTAAGACAGTTTCGCCCCCTCACCGTAAGTGCTGGAGGTTCAGTTCGAGCGGCTGTCGCCCAGGATACAACGATAATAAGCAGAATCCGAGCACCGCGGTCCTACTTCGACGAACTGATCTAGTATCTGAACAATATTACCACAAGAACATGACCTTACTGGATAAGGAATGCAGAAAAGAAGAAATTGTGTATGCAAGAATGTAGGTGAGATTTTCGAGTGTGTTAGATTGCTGGAGAATGAGCCTTTTTATAGGCATACTGCCCATTAATAATGTGATCATTGGGAGTCCATTGGAATTACTTCCCATTAATACTGTGACTATTGGGAGTCAATTGTAGTTTTTTCAATTTAGAAACTCAAAAGTTATTTGAGAAAGCAAAAAAAAAAATCGGCAAAACGTGGGCTCTCCAATGGGGCCATTTTTGCCTTATTCGGTCCGACATTTGTGTGCCCAGGTCGCGCTCGCCCCCAAGTTCAAGGTCCGAAAGCTATTTCGATTCGTGATTTGCACCCCCCTGCGCCGGCACGTGGAGAGAGACTCTATACTACACATGATTACACATCTCCAAAGTATAGCCATATATAAAGTGGTTTAAGTTTACTTGGTTTTCCTATGTGGGATAAATGCATTTTTTCCCACAAAACCAATTTCCAATGACCAACTTTGAGCTTCAATTTCTCATTCACCCGAACTTCATTTTTGACAAATAAATACATGAAATCAATGTTCTCACGGAGGAGAACACATATCAACTTTGATATTCTACATTGAACTAACGGATCCCATCGAAAATTGTGCCAAAAATGAGCCGCTCGCTCAATTTTTTCCAACATATTTATGGACTTAAAACTATAATGAAAACTGTGGCGGGGTTAGGCTGGGATTTCTATGTAGTTCGATATGCATATGCTCGAAATCTACAAAAATCTATTCAATCATTCAAATTAATAAAATAAATCTATAAGTAGAATGCCTAAACTTTAATTAAATTACTCAAACTAGGAGTTGAGAACATCTAATATTACAGAATTTTTAAATTTCATTAAAAAAATAAAATCTCTTGGTGGAACACTTGGCCCTTGTTTGATTTAGATAATAATCAAAATTTTAATAGATATTGATAAAATTGTTAAAATACATGAGTGAAAATTTATAAATTTTATAAAATCTGCTATTAGAATTAATTATTATTTTTTAACTTAAAAATTGACCCTTCTCTGACAACTATTATGTGAAAACTATTTTTTTACCTACTTATTTGTAATCATACATTCAATTATTTTTGTCACTCATTATTTGAAAAATTAAAGAGTCGGGAATAGAATGTTTGAAAGAATGTGTAGTTAAAAAGTAATGACACTTTATTAATTTTTATGTATAATATTTTATTGTATAAATAGATGATAAAAAGGTGACAAACAATTTAAAATTTTAAGGGACACTCAAACAATGAAATACTCTGTTAGCAAATGAAAATTTTGTACCAACTTTTTCACCGAAGATACTCTTAAAAATCATTATTCAAAATTTTTGTTTTTTCCATTTAATTCACTTCTCCAAAAGGAGCTTATGTTCATCTAGTTTGCCTAACCCAAATACCGTGCATGTTTAGAGCTCAAGAATTTGCGTCAATGGAGATCCTTGCTATGCATCTCAGCGAAATTCAGATCAGATTTTCTAGTTCCTTCTCCCAAATATTAGAAAGCAAGAAAATTTCTGGAATAATAAGAATTAAATTGAATTGAATTGAATTGAATTCTCACGGGGAAAAAATTAAGGCGAGCGTTTATGATTTATCGCATGTCAGCCGTAAATGCGCGAACCAAATTGAAACCGTTGCCCGTTGGGATTTTCGTCCCACCTTCCCAAAACCCTAGATATAGAGAGATACTATTCGACTTGCATAATTTGTGAATAATGGAATTGGTACCGAGAGGATGGAATGAACTGGGAGTTTCCAATATTATCTATGAAGAAGGAGAAGATGATGATTCATCCTCCATTCCTTCTCTCTCACCGGATTCCACCGCATCTTCTACCCCTGAAAATAGACGAGTAAAAGCTTGGTAATTTTTCCACTATATTTCTTCTCGATTTCCCTAGTTTATTTTGTTTAATATTAGTTCATTGTGCTCGTTTTAATTTTATGATTAATGATTTCTTTTTCTAAGGTCGTTGGCTACTTGCCGTGAACCAGATGTAATTATACACATCCAGGATTCGTGTTTCCCGCTTCATAAGGTACGTTGTTGGTGCTCTTACATATGAATTGAGAGATTAATGAATTTGAGAACGAGATATAGGGGAAGAATTTAGATAACGATGACTTGAATTCACTCTAAAAGTGGAAAAAACAACCTTTCATTGTAGAATGCATTGCCACGATATTTGCAATGTTCATTCTCATAATTGCCATAATTATAGGGTTTTCTGTATCCTCATTGCTAGGTTTGTGGGATTGCCAAGTTTTTTTTTTTAGTTGCCATGAGTTTGTGAGTGGAATTTCATTCTTGAAATTGCCATGATTTATAAGATGATCAAGGTTGCCATTTTTTTCCCTTTTTTTTTCGTTTTTTATTCCATGAGTTGTTTTCTGATTGTTATGATTTCAGCATCTATTGTTAGAGAATCAGAGGCTTTATGGTTGACGTATTCAAACTTTATTTACCGTTCCCATAGACTCATTATCCTGAAGTAAACAACCTTACAATCTTTGAAGTTTTCAGGGATGAGAAAGTGATTGCAAAATTGTATAATCTGTTCTGATTTAAATACGTTAGTAGGGAAGTTGGAGCTTGTTCAATGAAAATCTAATCAGCATTCCAGTTCGTGAATCCTTGTTAAGTAACCCCTTATCCAGGGTATTTTGTAGCACTTTTAATATTATAAGGGGGTGATTGTCAACATATTCTAAGAGATATGCTGTATTTCTTATGGTGATAGTCAAATGAAAACCTAAACCTAATGGTTTTTTGTTAGTCTTAAGAAGATAATTTTGAGTTAATCAAAATTGGTGTTAATATGAATTCCGTTGTTCTTTTCTTTTGATTCACTTTTTCTGCTACAATCTCACTTTGATTTATCTTCGTTTCAAAGGGAGAGGAATAGCAATATTTTGACTAGTTTTCGTAAATAAATGACTGCAAGAAAAGTGAGGGTATGTCTAATTGGTGCATTCATTATTTACTCTGTTCTTCTATATCAGGATCGTTTGATGGCAAGGAGTGGCTATTTGGAACGGCAGCTGAAAGAATTTTCAGAAGCAACCTTCTCCCTCGGGTTAAATATAACAGCCGAGACATTTTCTTTGGTTACAAACTTCTGTTATGGTTCCCATATTTCCATAACTCCGTTTAATGTTGCCTCGCTTTTAATAGCTGCAAAGTTGCTGGATATGTCAGAAACTAGAGGACTGAGAGACGAGAACTTGTGTCAGAAAACAGAAAACTATTTTCGTCTTGTTGTCACTGTTAACCTGGAGTATATCTCCATTGTATTGCAGTCCTGTTTTTCACTGCTTCCAGAGGTTGAAACAACAGCTTGTCTTGTTAGTAGATGCATTGAGGCCTTAAGTTCGATGGGAGATGTAGAAGCCGTTACAAGTTGTTTACATGATGTTAAGAAACTTTGTTTGGAGGATTTTCAACTAATTTTGAAGTCAACAAGTCAACGGTTGATCGAATGTCATGATCTTCTATATGTAATCATTGACCTTTACCTCAAGGTATGATGCTCGTACTCCTGTTTATCTTCGGTGTCTATGAATTGATCTAAATTTCATTTCCAAATTTATTGGAACAATCCGAACCTTATCTTCTGCATTAGCATGTTTGATTTGTTGGATTGGAGAGTATCGAATAAGAATAAGGAGCATCAAGTAGTTGAAGTGTTGCTTGTTCATTGTTGTGTTGTGGGCCAAAATGAGGCATTATTTACATAATGCAGGAACACAATTTTAAAATGACAGAGGACCAGAAAACCGAAATGTGTATCTATGTAGACTGCAGCACCTTGTCCCCCAAGGTTATCATCCATGCTATACAAAATCCTAGAATGCCACTGAGGTTTGTTGTACATGCCATGTTTGTCGAGCAACTGAACACTCGGCGCTTCATCATCTCTGCTGTTGAACACCAAGATTACAAACATCAAACTGAAGATCCTGTGACACTTGGATCGATTCTCAAGCGCGATGCAGCTCTGCATCGAGTGGCAGAGCTCAAGGCACTGATGTATTCCTCAAATTCACGTGTTCAGTGCTTGGAGAAAGAGCTGTGTGGCATGAGGAAACTTTTGAATGAATCGGGAAATATTACCAATAGGACTGATTTGGGGAGGTCTGCAAGTTTCCATTTAAGCTCAGAGAATAAGATAGAAAGGGGGCAGATTGGTTCGATTTCTTCCATTAATCTTCGTAATGTGACAAATAGTGTTGGTGTAGGATATTCTTCCTCCCAAGAATCACTTAATGGAAAAACAAGGATCGAAATGAATTTTCGTCAAAGATTCATGAAGAGGTTGAAGAGTGTTTTTCGGGCACCAATATTAGCGAAGAAAAAGTGATAGAAATAGAAGGAAAAAAAAAAAAAAGTTAGTTTAGAAGTGTTATTTTTTGAGCAAGTAGCTTTTTGGGGGTTTGATTTGTTCCTAATCATCTTATCTCCATGTGGTAGCCAAAGAAATAATCTTTAGTTTATTTCAATTAACGAAGTAGTTTGAATAAAAATTGATGAAATGTAAGAATGAAAATTTGAAAAAGTTGTGATTCCATGAAATTTTTTATTATAATTAATTATTAATTTTAACTTAAATTTTTATAAATTTTTTTTGCTAAATCAAACAAGGGTTACATAATCACGTCTACATCAATTACTGAATCAAATTTTATTGAAAACTGATCCATTACTATCTAAATATAATGTCCACAATGAGAGGAAATCACTTTCATCGGCTCTCTCTCTCTCTCTCTATTATCATTTTCAAATCTTTTTTAGCGATTTGAATAAAGAAGAAAACGCCTGCCTATTACTTATTCTGATAGTTTCATTCCCCACGAAAAATCCGTCGACAAATAGGAAGATTTCGAAGTTTGGTAATGCGATTTAACCATGAAAACGTGCCGCACGAGGTTGATGATAGGTACCCTAATCGTAATTCTACCATTTTTCACACATATTTTCAATAATTTTATGCAAAACAAATTTTCTGAGTTATTGCTGTTAATTGCTCATCTAAGAAGGGTGTTAGGACTTAGGCACGGTCATGAGCACATGGTAGAAGGGATGAAATGGTCAATGCACGTCATAGGCAGACCAGTCAAACTAAAATCCAACTACGAATTTTATAACTGCAACAACTTAAATATATATTATTGAAGCTGAAATTACCACAGCTACTAGCACAAAACCCCCATAAAACAACTTTAAGTTGACAATTACCATTAGCATCAAAGCTCAAAAAATCTTGAACTTTTAAATTCGTTCTAAATTTTTCCTCGAACAATGGAAAAATATGCTAAACATGAGTCAACTCTTGTTTATATTTCCTATCAATCTCTCAAAACTCGATAGACTTCCCTTCGAGAAACCTTACAGAATCGGGCATCTATATAACTCGTGTTCCAATTTCATGATTGAACTTAGGATTGTACCAAACTCTCATTATGGGGGAAAAACATTGGTTTTATTTGAAAATAATAGAAAAACATAAGGTTAAGGGTTTTACCATTTGATGAATTGGCTAAAGAACATTCTCCGAAGTCAATTGTCAACTATCATGTGGGAGTGGCATCACTAGACTATACCCCCACTTTGCCCAATTGCATCAATAACTTTTAATTATGTTATTAATAATAATTAAGTGTCACATTTCGATGAAAATGGAGGGGCCGGGGAACGACCTAGGGGCTCTTCGTTTTCTAATAATTATTTTTCTTGCCTTTTATTTTCTTTAACCAACCCCAAATACTTTAATGAATGCATTAACTAATCGTCTTATGGCCTGTTTGACAGAACTTATGATTTCTATAGAAATATTTCTTGGTAAATCTACATGAATTAATATTTGAAACTATTTTCTATAAGAGTTGTCCCTTTCGAAAGATCTTTAAAAGATAATTTCATTACACCAACTTCTTTTAAAAACTTCTCTAATTAAAAGAAATACTTTTATAAAATTAATCAAACAAATTTTAAAAAAAAAAAAATTTAAAATTTTTTTAATGATCATGTCAAACGGGTCATTACTTATAGAAGTTGCTAGAAACATGCCATAGCCGCACCTTTCAAGGCAGTTGGGCAGGATTAAACCCTGGACCTTCACCAATCACCATAAGCTAAAAAGGGCGAGAAACTAAAGGAGCATTAATTATGCAAAAATCAAAACTAGGCTTTAAATACCTATAAAACTACTCTAAATATAAAATTAATGAAAAAAAATAGGCACTCTTACACATCGATTTTCATTAAATTTATCAATCACTTGTTTTTGCTTGAAACGCTTGTCATTTTAAATATCTATTAAAGACCATGTCATTTTAATATGAAGGGCCGAGAGGAGGAAAAAAATAGACTATAAAAAACATGGTAACAATATGAGAAAAATAGGGTTAATTTTACCAATAATGATTGAAGTTTGTACAAAATTTCAAGTAACGCTTTAGTTGTACTCTATCCAATAATGTAATCCAGAACATTTTGTTTTATCTATATAAATAAATGATGATTTATTCTGATTTAATTATTTATTACATATTAGAGTAAAATATTATGAACCATCGAGATCACTTATTGATAATATAAGTTATGTACTTGCAAAAAAAAAAAAAAAGTATATGATGTAATTTATATTTTGATCAATTATAAGTTGTTCTAAAATGACTTGTAGATGTTGGTGCTCTATTTGGGTAATGGATAGTATTGACCTCGAAAATTGGACCCTCCATGTGGGCAATCGATAGCCACTCCACGTATTTCTTTCTGCGCACAATCAGCACACGGTCAGATGCACATGGCCAAAACCAGCGGCGGTGGCGGCTGTATACACTCCGACGGTCAAGTTAGGCTCAGGGGATCGGAACAGTACCAAGACTTGTGCAAAATAATGGGGAGGAGAATATATTTATTTGCTTGCTATGGAGTGTTAAGTAGTAAGAGTTTCATTACCTTTGCCTCTTGCCAAGTCTTGGATATTTATAGGTGATAAGAATCGTTGGATGCGGGACACATTTACACATTTGACGGTATGAGGCGTCTGCTCATAGGCGTCAATCAGCCGCATCTATAGAGTGGGTGGGTAATTACTTCTCCCGAGTTGAGTTGACATAAAATTAATATGTCACATCAACTAGTCTCATGGAGACGTCAAATCACTTTAAACCTTAGGGGCAGAAAAGATCTTGACAAAGATCTCATTCTGAAATTGACGGCGGATCCTTTGACAGAGGTCCCCGGAGTGTATTTCGTCTCAGATTCAGGGGCGAGGGCGCTTCGGTCAGTCCCACAGAATTGTCTATGTCTCGTAGTATGATAGCAGATTGTCATCATTGGTGAAGTCGCTTCGGAATCACTTCGAATGAGCATTTCACACCTCGCATGATGTAGTGGTAGACTTTTCGAAGTGGTTCGGATAGGGCGTAACAGTAATCCCCCAAGTCCAGGTATGAATATTTATATCATGGGTGGACTTGTCTTCTCGATCGGGTATGTATGCCTCAAGATGGAGACCGTGATTTGTGAGAATTTGAGGGTCGATCTTCTGTGTTCGTCGAAGCGTTGATCCTAGGTAGATGCGCTAAAGTTCGCTACTGCATGAGGGAAAAATTTATGTGAGGTCGAGGTGCTGCCGAACTGGACGATGCGTAGGGAGACGGTCAACGCATCGACCGAGAAGATGACCCACAGCGGACTCCGTGTCAAGTGCGTCTAGACTTTATAAAGCTGAGTGAGGAGCTCATCTGTCACCGGTGCGCTGACCCACAGGGGACGACGCGTTGCGAGATGGCTAAAACTTTGTAAAGTTTAGGAGGGAACGCATCGACCAAGGCGATGACCCACAGGGGACTCCGCGTCAGGTGCGTCTAAGCTTTGTAAAGTTGAGTGAAGGGCTCATCTGCCATCGGTGCGCTGACCCACAGGGGACGACGCGTTGGGAGATGGCTAAAACTTTGTAAAGCTTAGGAGGAAACGCATCGACTGAGGTGATGACCCACAGGGCACCCCGCGTCAGGTGCGTCTAAACTTTGTAAAGTTGAGTGAGGGGCTCATTTGCCACCTGTGTGCTGACCCACAGGGGACGACGTGTTGGGAGATGGCTAAAACTTTGTAAAGCTTAAGAGGGAACGCATCGACTAAGGCGATGACCCACGGGGGACCCCCTATCAGGTGTGTCTAAATTTTGTAAAGTTGAGTGAGGAGCTCAATCTGAGGCGGGCGTATCTGACGTTAAATGATTTGACAGTTGCTGCGTATTTCCAATGTGACAATTGGATGTAGCGTCCATTCCCCTAAAAGGGTGCCGCAGTTACTTATTGTTGACGGCTAGTGGTGACTGAGGCGACGCGTTTTATGCGAGCGTGAGGGCCACAGCAAAATCTTAGGCATAGATCAAATTTGGCGTTTCATTTCAACGGCCTAGATGGATGATGCGACGGACGGCCTAGATTGATTGCATTTGAATTCAACGGTAGAGATTAGTTGGAGCACTCTATAAAAGGTGGACTTGAGCATTTTTGGAGCTTTTCACTCTTGCGAAAACAGAAAATCCCATTGCTCTCAAACTTCTTTGTGATTTCGGCATTCTTCAAGCATTTTTGGTGGGAAATTCGATTTTTCGGTGACCACATACCGCTTTTTGACCATTTCCGGCTGGGAAACACTCAAACTCGTTAGTTTTAGTAAATATTTGAGACATTTCCTTTCTGAAAATGGCTTTTGAGTTTAGTGCTAATTCGGGGAGGGCTGGAGTTAGTGCGGATGGACGATCCCATTGTGGCGGCCTCTTCCGAAGTAGCCGAGGAAATACTTGGGGGTAGAACATTTGGAAGAGGCCGGATAGCCCAACAGATACCTTTGTGCATTGGGCAGCGACGGATTATCCCTCCAAGCTAAAGGGGGCCGACCTAAAAAGACTTAGAACTGAATATAGGATATCAGATAGTATAGACCCGATCTTACCTGAGCCTGATGAGAGGGCCTACTACCCTAGGCTCGGGTACGTGGCGATAAGCAAGGCGATCCTCAAGGCCGGTCTTAGGCTTCCAATTCACCATTTTTTTTCGGATGGTGCTTAGGTCTTATGGCTCAGCACCGACCCAATTGAACCCGAACTCCTGGAGCCAAATGGTGGGCTCCTAGATGTTATGGAAAGAGGCGTCACTTGGGATGAAGATGCCCTTTTCTATTTTTCAGACCCTCTACATTCCCAAAGTAATAGCCGGGGAGGATGAGACCAGGGGCTGGTATTACCTGAACTCTTGGGGTTCCCATACTCTTTTCGTGCTCGATCTGTCAAGCTCCATCAAGGAGTGGAAGAGCTCGTGGTGCTGGGCTGTTAGGAGATGGGACACGATGGTGGGAGACCCCTTGGCACCTCTTACGGTCCCTACGAAGTACTCGTCACTTAGTGAGTATTGTAGCTGTATTTCTTGTTTATTTCTCTTCGGTTCGGATCATAACTAACACTCGTGTTCATTTTTTTAAGGCAATCTTGCTCAGTGCGAGCTGTCCTCTGACGACTTTGAGATCATCTGCATCATATAGTAGCTG